ACTGAAAATCACGGGAATGAAGATCTCACCTAGGGAAAGAGGACTGACTGAGAAGATGGTTAAGAAAGGAATAGCGTAAATCATTCAATGCCATTTACATGAAAATTTAAACTGCACAAAACACTGTATAAATTTTACAGGAATACATCTAAACAAAAAAATACAAAATAAACACATTATAATAGTTTTCTAGGGGTCTGAAAGGAGAAAGGGTATAGGAGAATAAGAAGCTACACGAAGCTAAGCTATGAGGACACAAAGTCATAAGAATCATGTAATGGACTTTGGGGACTCGGGGGTAAGGATAGGAGGGGCGAGGGATGAAAAGCTACACATTGGGTACAGTGTACCCTGCTTGGGTGAGGGGGGCACCAAAATCTCAGAAATCACCACTAAAGAGCTTATCCATGTAACCAAAACCCACCCGTTTCTGCAAAACTATTGAAATCTAAAAAAAGAGAGTATGAATACAAAATAGGAATAGAAAAGAAATTTTAAATAAAACAAGAATGAACCTTACAGTCCATAACATGTCATAAGGTTAGTGTATTTATGCAATCCTCTGTACCTGAGGTCCCACTACATTATTAAAAAGGAAAGACTATTTAGGAGTCGGCCCTGAGGCCCTTCCCTCTTTTTAAGTGAAAATCTGTCAAAGAACAATGTGAAGGAGTAGCTGGTGAAGCAGAGTGAGAGTTTGGGAGAGGGAGATAAGGAGGGTTCAATATTTCAAAGAGCAAGAAAGAGGTATTTCCAAAGGGAATACCTGTGTCAAGGCCGCTGAAAACAGCAAACTAACTGTTCATTGTATTTGCACCTTGCAGGTCACTGGTGACCCTGGCGAGAGCAGTATCAATGCAGTGACATGTACTGAAGACAGACTGCAATAGGATGAGGAGGGAAGGAGAAGTGAAGTGAAGATGGTGATCAAATATGTCCTGGGAATGAGGAGGCAGTTGAAGTGGGATGCAAAGTTTGTTTTCAACATGAGAGCTGAGACAGCAAAGTCACTGTGTTAACTTATGGTGTGGGTCAATTAAGAGAAATAACCGAATGAAGTAAGAAAAAGAGTGGGTGGTGTCTTTGAGGGGGAATGGAATCCAGCACATTGAGGAGTTGATCTTCTTTTGGAGAATGGAGAGGTTGGTTAACTTTTTTAGTTGGTAATTTTAGTGTTTTGCAAAGTTTCTGTGCATGCACATAGTCTTAGGAATACAAAAGTTCTGAAAGATAGCCAATCTAAACAGTCATCATCCTTGCTACCTTTCTGCCATTTATCCTTGCACAGAGGGACCCCTTTCAGCTCCTGGGTAAATAACTCCACATCTCTAAATATTACTTCTTGGTTTTGGTTTCTGTCTTTTCAGTTTATGGCTTTAGGTGTCAGATCATGACTTCTCACTACCAAAGATGAAAATTAATATTTTTTCGTCATCATGTCTGAATCTCTCCAAACTTCCACACTCTTTCCGTCTCCCCATCCTTTCAGTATAGTTACATCATCATCTCAGGTAGATCAGCATTCAACGTTTGATTTATTATAACTGTAGCCATTCAAATTTGATGCTTATTTTTCCTTTCCTGCAAAATACAACTATTTAACTGTCATGCTTTTAATTTTTGGTTACTTTTCTAAGACTTACCATAAATTTAACTCTCAAACTCTCCCGCAATCATCTAAATTCCTTCTCAATATATTCAAGGCATTAGCAATTTTGTCTCTTTGAGTAAATCTGTTCTGGAGGCTGTGACCTGCTTCCATCTGAGATGGTTGCTGTCTGCTAAGTGCACAGCTGTCACAGCCTGATCCAGGCAATTTGCCATATCTGTCTCTGTGTTGAAGACCCTATTTTCTAAGTCCATAATTTCCTCTTCCTTTGTTTGTTTACCCCCAGTTATAGAGGAGCACTTATTTGAGGCACATTCTTAAAAAGTATAGATAAGAAGTAAATTTTTTGAGATCTTGATCATGTGAAAATACTTAAATTCTATCCAAAGACTAGATTTCTCTGGATATGGAATAAAAAGTTGGAAATTATTTTCCTTCAACAATTTAAAGGTATCATTCAGCTGTTGTCTGGCTTCTGATATTATTGTTGTGAAGTCTAAGGATTTCTAATCCTTTGTATGTGACTCATTTATTTTTCTCTCTGAAAGATTCCAGTCTCTTCTCTTTGCCTTTGGTTTTCTAACATTTCTTGTTGACATAACTCATTCCTGCTAGTTCATATCTGCTAGTTCTACAATATTTTTTGGAATTTATTTTTTTAAGATTTCTTCCATTTTTCCCTACATTATTATAAGAATTCCCTACATTATTATAATGTTTCCCCTAGATTATTCACATGTTAGATATACTGAACTCTTTCTTTAATTTTATTAACTTCTTCTATTTTCATTCTCTCTGAATATTTGCTCAACTTTCTGGGAGAATTTAATGGCTGTATCTTCCAAACTTTCTGTTAAGCTTCCTCTAGGAAACCCTCTGGTAACCTCTCAGGCTGGGAGGTATCCTAAATTAGAATTTGCAAAAGTCTTTATTCTGAATAATGAGAACATTTTGACTGATACGATTTGAACCTTGCTATCAATTTTGTCAGCCAGGTGTTGAGTTTTAGAACAGAGGAAAGAGATAACCTTTGCACTGTCCCCTTGTCCCTCACAGCAGGACATCAATCATATCTTCTACCCTGAACAGAAAGCAAAGTAAAACAAACAAGAATAAACTAGGCAAGTATCAACAAGAAGAAAGCAGGTCAATTATTATCAGACAAGTCCAAAGTTAAAAATACCCCAAACTCTAAGCAAAGTAAAAACATTATTTCATAGATAAAATAAGTCACACTAACATGAAGATGTCTAGCCTTTATTAATTTAAAGGCTTTAAGTACATTTTATTAATTAATAAAAATAAATTAGCTAACATTTCCCAAATTTTAGTCATTTATATAGCATGTTCATAATATACCTAATATTTTACTTTAAATAAAATGAATATTTAAATTAAAATGTAACTTTATATTGCTGCTACAGATAGAAAATCAGTTTCACTAGTAAATCGAAGTAAAACATACAAATAAATACTTGGATGTTCCTGGGCATCAATTTTTCTTTTCCATGTACAGGAATAATAACAGGACCTATCTCATAGGGTTGTTTTTGAGTGTTCAAAGAATTAATACATATAAAGTGCTTTGAAAAATTCTAGAACATAATGTCTCATAAATGATTGTTAAAAGGGATGAAAATTATTTATAAAAAGGCTATTAATTTGGATTTTGAAAAGTTAAACTGTATGGTAGAAATAAATAGAAGACATGCTTGAAACAAAAATGAAATAAAATAAGAAATATACATCAGGCAAATAGCCAATACAAAATTGGTATAGAAATGTCAATATTAAAAAAGTTTAAAATAACAAGCAAAAATAGCAATAAATAGGGGCACTACCCAATGAAGAAAGAGATGATCTATGAAAAAATCATAAACATATGTTCATTAAAGTGTATAATAGTAAGGAAAAATGATCTTAATTAAGAAATTGGATCAATAAAATATTTCATATTCATGTGATGCAATATGATTAATTTTTAAAAGATCATGGCTATATTTTAAAAGCACAGAGTTCAATTATACAACAGTAAAACTTTAAAGTAAAATATTAAAACCATTGTTTGCATATTAATGTGCAAAGCAAAAAATACACAGAACTGAAAGGATACATCAAAATAATGATACCTGCTGGGAAGATGGAGAACAAAAACAAAATGTCACTCCGTTATTAGCAATGTTTTAAAGAATCTGCATTCAGTTTTCTAGCGTTTTGATTTTAGTTCTATGTTACAATCTCATTTGAATTATTATATTTTAAATGTATGTCAAATTTATAAGTCACAAAATAACATAATGTTACCAAAAGGTTTGACAAGTTTCTAAGTTTGACTCATAAATTTGGCTTTGCACGTTCTGGACTTTTGACTTCAAGGCATCATCCAATCGCTCTCTCTTTATTGTCATCTGGTTGCAAGCAATTAAAGAGAGAAAAGATAAAACTGTGGCTCAAATGCAATTTTATATCAGTTCCTGCTTTTCTGTAATCAACTATTCCATTAAAACAAATGGCTTCCTTAATCTGAAAATATATAAATTAGCTATGCAAAAAACTGGGAGAACCTATATGCAAATAATAAAAATTCAGTGGTTACCTATAATTGTGTTCCTCTTCCACACTACATTAAAAAAAAAAAAAAAGAGTTCTGAGGGTTACGGTTAAGAAGAGAAAGAAAACTGTAGCAAGATCTCAAAATGATAAGTTAAAAGAAATAACTATCTTATTTTTCAATTGTGGCATTATGAATAATTACTATTTCATTTTCTACACTTTGCTGCACTTTCCAAAATTTATACACAGAAGATATAATCTGGATGAAATGAAAAAGGATTTCAGTAGCAAGAACGTGTAATAAGTGATTACATGATGAATAAAAGAATAAATATTTCTTTCTAGGCTATTTCACCAACCAAACACGACCTGATTCACCGGCTAATACTCCCGGCTTCCAAAGCCACACGTGAAAATCAAACTTACTCCAAGAATAACCGGAACCTCTTTTCCCATAATCCCCCTCTTTCTAGTTTCCCATGAATCTGAGGGCCTTAAATCAGACAATACTACTACTACTAGAACGTTAACCCGCCCCCTCATTTTTTACTGGCCATTCAAGATCGGTCCTGCCCCACCTGTTGGTGTGAGACTGTTGATTGGATAAGAACGGGGGACGGTAGGCGGGACGGCTTCTGACAGCCAAGCGGAGGCGTGGCCATAGCCGCCCAGAAAATCTACCCAGGCTGCCTTAGCACCATGTACCGAGCACTCCGGCTCCTCGCGCGCTCGCGTCGCCTCTCACGGGCTCCTGCCTCAGCCCCAGCGTCGGCTTCCGGCTTGGGTGGCGCGGCCGTGCCCTCGTTTTGGCCCCCGAACGCGGCTCGAATGGTGAGCGCAGGCCGCCGTACCCCGGCCTCCCCGCGGTGACCTTCAGCCCTCCTACCTGCTGGCCCGGGCGCCCGCAGCTTGGCTGGGGAGATTCCCCGGGAGTCCGGGTTGCGCCGGACTCTGGGCGCAGCGCCCGTGCCGGCCTCGGGACGCCTCCTCCGGCGCAGGGATGGAGCCGCAGCCCGGGAGGGCTCTTGGGGAGGGATGGAGGCTGGCGGTGAGGGTCCTGCTGGGCTCGCTCCTGGCGCCTCCTCGGAGCCCTCCCAGGCGGGCCTAGGCCGGGGCGTTTTGGGGTAACTGCACTCCTGCCGGCTCAGAGGCCCCCAGCCCTGGAGCGCTGCCCTCAAAGACAGTGCTGGGGTGGGCGGAAGGTGCAGGGAGAGGGGCGGCTCCCGCAGCGTCCTGCCCCTCAGCTGGGCCTTCCTGGCAGACACTGGCCGCCTGTGCATCTAGTGGTTTCTGAAGTGTGGTTTGTTTCGCCAAGGGCCACAGCACTGCTTTCAGGCCTTCCGGGGGGCGGGGGGGGGCGGAAGATTCTTCGAAGATTTTACTTCTCTTGAAATTGTCTGTTCAGTTCGTTAGGCTGATTATGGATTTCCCATAACTTTTATTCCTGTCTTTAGGGGAGATTAAGTAAGCAAAGCAGTTAAATAAGCAAAGAAATCACTTATGAATAATTAGTGTGATCAATACTATAGAGGAGAAAAAGTGCATCGAGAATGACAATATTTAACAGGCAGACCAGCGTGATACTGACTTGTTAGCATGGTAGCATATATATAAATAGTGTGTATATATATATATATATATATGTATTATATATGCACACACACACGCATACATATAATGTTTATAAATTTCTTATATGTGAATATACATATGTAATTCATTTATATGAATAATGTTTATATATGTTTATAAATTTCAAATCATTCTTAGACTGTTTTCAAAAGGTCTCAGTAAAATAAGCATTAAAGTATGTACATTGAATTGGCCAAATCTTGACCAATAATAAGCTTACTCTTGAAATGGAAAAGATTTCAAAGTCTTTATATTTGTCACCAGCATAGTATCTGAGCTTAATAATCTGTCTTTAACACCTGCGTTAATCAGTTCGTGTGACAAAGAGTTCTCAAGGAAAGACCTGAAACTGAGGAAGAGAATGAGAATTCAAATAGTATTTTTTTGTCTTTCTGATACTTAGTTTCTTTCTCCTTAACAGCTGGTAAGATGCAATTACTTTTGATACTTGGTTTCTTTTCAAGTTGTAACAGTGTTTTATTCTCATCTTTAGGCAAGCCAGAATTCCTTCCGGGTAGAATATGATACGTTTGGTGAGCTAAAAGTGCCAAATGATAAGTACTATGGTGCCCAGACCGTGAGATCTACGATGAACTTTAAGATCGGAGGTGTGACAGAACGCATGCCAGTAAGTGGCATTTGTGGAAATGCTGGCTTATTTTGGACATAGTAGGCTATCATTCACCAGTCACTTTATAAAAAATTATTTTTCAGTTAAAATGTAAAGTTCTTAGAAAAGTGACTTTATGAATAATAAGATGTTCTCTTTCACTAAAGTGTTAAAGAACTTTTTGAAGTATTAGGATGCTATTATTTTGAGCCATCACTTTGAATATTTTGGATTAAAAAATTATTTTAAGTTCTGGGATACATGTACAGGATATGCAGGCTTGTTGCATAGGTAAACATGTGCCATTGCGGTTTGCTGCACCTATCAATCCATCACCTAGGTATTAAGAAGCCCCACATTAGCTATTTATCCTGATGCTTCCCCTCCCACCACAGGCCCCAGTGTGCATTGTTTTCCTCTTTGTGTCCATGTGTTCTCATTGTTCAGCTCCCACTTGTAGGTGAGAACATGCGGTATTTGGTTTTCTGTTCCTCTGTAGTTTGCTGAGGATAACAGCTTCCAGCTCCATCCATATCCCTGCAGAGGACATGAGCTCATTCTTTTTTATGTCTGCGTAGTATTCCATGGTAGAAATGTACCATTTTTCCTTTATCCTTTATTAATGGATGTTTGGGTTGATTCCACATCCGTGCTATTGTGAATAGTTATTTTGGGTTTTTATTTGATAGAACTAAATGACTGTCTTTTCATTCTGGCTGGGTGTTTACATATTTTTACTAGGATTTTACAGTTTGTAAACATTTTTATTTCAATACTCATTCTTTTTTTCCCCCACTAATTTAAAACTGAGATTTTTTTTATGTATTTTGGTTTCAGTTTCAAAAAAAGTGTACACCACCAAGTATTACTCTTTACCATGTCTAACATATAATAGATAATATTTATGTATTTATTCAATGCCATATGAATGATTAAATGATGGGAAAACTTTCTATCACATTTCATTAAATTTAAGATGCCATCAATTAGAAGATGCACCATTATAATACCACTAAGAAAGAAAAATGCTACCAATTAAGGTTGTGACTTACTATTGATTATAAGATACATCTTGATTTCAGAGATGTTAAAGTGTGAAAAGAATTGAGAAATACATAACATATTCTACTGGAGCCCAACTGGAGTGTGAAAAATAGTCAATGCAGGTTAGGCTAGTAAGCCTAGAAGTAGCCAGGCTTCATCCGGTGAGATATCCTTTAACAGTTATCTTAGAAATATGCTTATATTTTAAAGAATTTTAAGTCACTCCTAAGCCTTCAAGACTGACTCTTGACAGGTTTATAGAACTTAAACAGGCAGCTGAATCTTTGAAGAAAAATTTCTTTGTCATTGCTGTCTACAGCCTGCTTGGTGGTGAGGTAAACATAGTTTAACTGTGTGGTTGGCTGATAAAGGGTCATGATCAATACTGAAATAATCTCGTATTATTCAACTTCAGAGACAAAGGAGGAGGTCAGCCCCAGCCAGCGTCGGTGGGAGTGAGCATGGCTGCTATTTTAATTGACCTGATTCATCTGGCATGTTCTGGTGGGGCATGGTTGCTGCTGCTCCAGAGACAGCACAGCCATTGGGGTTGCACATCTGTGACAAGCAGACACCTGGGGTCTCAATTTTGTCACATTTGACTTCAAGTGGATTCGTTTCCTGAACTTTATTACATGTAAAACAGACTGTGTGTACTCTAACCTGAGTAGTATGATTAAACTCAACCCTTTTTACCTGAGGTCCAAATGAAAACAAAGCTAAAAAGACTACAAATGTCTAACATGAGTAAATGAAGAATAAGGTGACCTGTCTTTTCTCCCCAGGGATATACACAGTGTTTTTTCCTGTGGAAATTTAAATCCCCATTTGTTTTCATGTTTAAAGCTTTTAAGTTTCTGATCCTGTGTACCATCTTTCCCCATTTTATTTGAGTAAGACATGTCTAATGTTTTAATTTTAGTTACTTAAAATTGAATTTAAAATTTTTTGGTTTTCCTTTTCTATTTGCCCCTCGGCTTATACTTACTCTGGTCCATGTTTATGCGTTTAATGTGACTTATTTATTACTTGTCTTTCTTTTTTTCCTGCTTTGATTCCTCTCTGAGGGTGACAGGTTCTCTCTTATACATTGATCATTCTCTTCCTTTCCTCCCTTCTGCTCTTTACCTGTTAAAACTTGGTATAGGATCTATACAACAATCTGTATTATTAATTTTGACAAGAACTCACAATTCACTTGTCTTACAAAAACTAGGTTTTCATTTCAGTTTATCCTTTTCAAGCTTGGTGAGGTGATTTGGGATAGACAATGAAAAGATCAGTACTAACAGGGTTTTAAAATATGGTTATATGTATTGGAAGCTGTCACCTTTAGGTCTGGAGTTTAAAAAAATAATTCTGAGAGAAATGTCGAGGAAGTTATTAAGTATTAAGGCTTTACTAGCTAAGTAGAATAGATTGCTTTTTGGCCTTTGGGTGAAATGATAACCCGCTCAGTAACTGGTAGTCTCATACTGATTGGCAGTGAAATATGTCATTTTCTTTTTTAGAGTCTTATCTCATCTTTATATATCTAGATCTCACCACGATGTTTGGCATATAGTGCATACTCCATCCTTATTTACTGAATTTAACTGAATTCTTCTTCCCACGTACAAGGTATGGGAGGTATTTGACAGTTTAAAACAAACCACAACATTATGTTAGCAATTCATGAATTAGTACTAAATTTTTTATGATGTTTGTTTTTGTTTGTTCATAAAAATCCACTGCTCTTACCAAAAAAAGACAAATTAAAAAAAAAGATACAAAAAAATTCCTTGATCTCCTTAACCAGAAGAGAGGAAGGAAACATTTATAATGTAACATGGGATCCAGTGGGGGAAATAATGGCTCTTGCTGGTGAAAAGATTGAGTACTATTTGTTTTTGTATATAGTGTATGAAATAAATACATATACTTTATTTTGTGTATGTGTGTATAGGATGAGTAGTACATCGTATATGTGTGAATATGTAGGTACATGTATATGTCTGTGGGAGGCATATAAATACATATATATGAAGAGTCAATGTATTTGCTTTTATATGGTTCCTTAGGCAATAGATCTATGATAATGTTGAATTTTGGTTCATGAATTTCTATCTGCAATCTTTCTCTATATCCTAAACATTTTAGAGCTATAGTGTTACTTGTTATTGTTTTATGTATAGCTTTTGCATCTGCCAAAATAGTAAACTTTTATGCTTAAGTAAAATTGCAAATTTGAAATATTTTTCTGATTAATTTTAGACCCCAGTTATTAAAGCTTTTGGCATCTTGAAGCGAGCGGCTGCTGAAGTAAACCAGGATTATGGTCTTGATCCAAAGATTGCCAATGCAATAATGAAGGCAGCAGATGAGGTGGGTGATAAGCGTGTTCACTTAATAGCATCAGACCATGTCATACTCTGGGTGATGATATGTTCACCACAGGGAACTATGAATCCTTGAATTAATGAATTTTAGGGTAGGGTGGTAGCATTATTTTTAGGGATGATATTAATATGGTGCTTAAAATATGGCATTATGACAAAATTTCTGGATGATTTTATACCTTTTGGTTTTAAGCCTCTTGATATTCCTTGTTAATTTATATAGTTTTAAGAAAAATTTTTTAAAAGATATTGTTTGAACTTTGACTTCTTAATTTATATATAAATCTTTTTAAAACTAGTGATTATTTGATAATGCTTAAGAATGTAATTTTGCCAATGTACTAATAACATTGTCTTAAAGAAGCAATCAGAGGTAACAGAACTGTATATGTAATGTTGTTAATTACAGCACTATTTATAATAATGAAAACAAATTAGACAATACCCAAGTATAACAGCTACTTATATAAATTATATTTATATTGTAAATTATAGAAAATTACCTTTTTGAAGATTGGCATGAACAAAGCCTAACCTATGAGAAATAGGGAAGAAAGTTTGCAAAAATATATGTATTTTATGATCCTAATTTTGTTTAGGAAAAAATGAACAATGTGTGTTTTCACACACACACACACACACACACACCCCTCATTGCATTAGAGACTGGAGATGCCAACATGCTAATAGTCATAATTACTAAGTAGTGGAACTATAGGGACTCTCGGTTCTCAAAATTTTCTACACTAATCACATATTTTTATGTAACAAGAAAAAGGTTTTATTTTACTGTGGACCAGTTGTTAAGGTAATAGATTTCTCAAGTGCAATCTGATTTTTTAAGCTAAAATCATTCCAGAAGGTTAAGCACCCTCACTTTACAAAGCACACCATCCAAAAACTAACACAAAAGCTGAAAGTATAAAAATACAACAAAAATAGGGGCAAAGCTGGGCAGTGTTTATTTCTACATTTGGTGATTACTGCTCATTGAACATCTGTGCAATGAACTAGCTATTAGTGAACTCACATTTTCGAATCACTAGCTCTTTATCGTGCTGACTCTGGCAGTAACAGCTGTTGGATATTCCTGCTGAGCATCAGCAACAAATATATCTTAAGACTAAACATATTTACCAGCCTTAACAGGTGGCTCTCTATTAGAGGAGGCACTTGGAAAGAAATAAGAAAGATGGCTTTGATTCTCTTTTCATTTGAAACCAGTGAATTGTCATACCATTCAGTATAGATAATATTTTACTCTTTAGAATATCTGTTGTTGGAGCAAGTGATGCTTCAGAAGCTTAGATCTGTGGGTCAACTGTATTCTAACGCGGTGGCATATTCAGCAGGTCATTGAACATATGAAAACAATGAACATATTTAAAATAGTTCTGTAAATGGAACATATTTATGGTTGATTAAAATCGTGAAATAAATGTTATTTCCTTTTTTAAAATACTCATTTTTAACTTTTCTGCAGGTAGCTGAAGGTAAATTAAATGATCATTTTCCTCTCGTGGTATGGCAGACTGGATCAGGAACTCAGACAAATATGAATGTAAATGAAGTCATTAGCAATAGAGCAATTGAAATGTTAGGAGGTGAACTTGGCAGCAAGAAACCTGTGCATCCCAATGATCATGTTAATAAAAGCCAGGTCAGTATGGAAAAAACTTTTCTTTTTTGTTGTTATAAATTGAAAATCATACCTGAGATTTTTCTCGTAAAACAAGCATTCATTTTATGACAAGGAGAGTTCATTATTTAAAGCATAAGGCTTCTTAGATTCCTTATTCCTTTTAGGAATCTTGGCTTTATGTCTCAGTCCTTATAAAAATTACTTTAAGACACCTGAATTTAGTGTATATTTTATTTTATTGTTTGGCTTATTTTTAAAAACTATTTTGAAATGATTTTAGATTTATAAGGGAATTACAAAGATAGTTCAAATAGTTTCTGTATTCCCTTCACTCAGCTTCCCTTAATGTTAACATCTTATATAACCATGGGACATTTATCAAAACGAAGAAATTCATTGATACAATGCTCTTAACTAAACAAAAGACTTTTCTAAAAAAACCTCAGACTTTTTTAAAAAAACTTAGTTTTTCCACTTACTGGAAACTTTTTTAAAAACTGAGGATTTCCCCTCAAGTCCTTTTTCAGGATCCACTTAAGGCTATACATTACATTTAGTTACATGTCCCCTTAGTTTCTTCCAGTCTATGACAGTTTCTTGGTCTTTTACAATTGTCTCATTCCTTTGGGGCTGCAATAACAAAATACAATAGACTGAGTGGCTTATAAGCAACAGAAGTTAATTTGTCACAGTTCTGACAGCTAGAAGTCCAAGATCAGGCCACTGGCCAATTCATTGGCTGATGGGGGCCCACTTTCTGGTTTGTAGACAGCCATCTTTTCTGTGTCCTCAAATGGTGGAAGGGACAAGGGAGCTCTCTGGGGTCCCTTTTTTATAAGGGCACTAATTCTATTCGTGACCTAATCCCTTGCCAAGTCCCCATCTCCTAATACTGTTACCTTAGGGGTTAGGATTTCACATAGTAGTGACCTTAACACTTGAAAGCAGTGGTCAGGTATTTTGTAGAATGTCCCTCAATTTTGGTGTGTCTGATGTTTTCTCATTTGACTGAGACTTGAATTTTTGAGAAAACTGTCACAGAAATAAAGGGCTCTTCTCATTGCATAGTATCAGGGGTTCATGGTGGTAACATGACTTGTTACTGGTGATGTGAACCTTAATCATTTTATATTTCTTTTGAAAAATTTCCAACAGAGCTCAAATGATACTTTTCCCACAGCAATGCACATTGCTGCTGCAACAGAAGTTCATGAAGTACTGTTACCAGGACTACAGAAGCTGCACGATGCTCTTGATGCCAAATCCAAAGAGTTTGCACAGATCATCAAAATTGGGCGCACTCACACTCAGGACGCTGTTCCACTGACTCTTGGGCAGGTATAGGAGTTTGACTAATTTTATTCAATTTAGAGCTCGGTACAAGTGGCCAATGTGTCATCCTTGAAATCTGACTGGTTTAAAAGGCCAAATTTGTAACTGTTAACTTCAGTGACAGAGATTATTCTGTACAACCAATCAGTAATTTTTATTGACATCCAGAACAAAAGCAGAGTGTACTAGCTATAAGCCAGACTCAGCCAGACTGCTCGATTCAAATCTTAGCTTTGCCATTTGCAACTATGAGACCACAGGAAAACCATTTAGCCTTTCTGTGCCTAGTTTTCTGAGTTATAAAATGAGGAAAATAATTTTCATTCATAGGATAGTCGTGAAGTTCTAATCAGTTGATTCCTGTAGAGTGCGTAGAAGCATGCCTAGCACATGGTAAGTACCCACTAATGTTAGCTACTGTCATCGCCACTGTCCTCACTGTCATCTCGAGCACTATCATCATGGTTTTTTAATTGTCTTGCTTACCTAAATTAGTAGGTTATTTAAAATTTAATTTTAAAGTGATTTAACAAGGTAGATCTTTTCGGTTTTGTTTTGAAATGGAGTCTCACTCTGTCGCTCAGGCTGGAGTGCAGTGGCACAGTCTTGGCTCACTACAACCTCCACCTCCCTGGTTCCAGTGACTCTCCTGCCTCAGACTCCTGAGTAGCTGGGTACAGGCGTGCACCGCCACACCCAGCTAATTTTTTAATTTTTTTAGTAGAGATGGGGTTTCACCATCTTGGCCAGGCTGGTCTCCAATTCTTGACCTCGTGATCCACCCGCCTCGGCCTCCCAAAGTGCTGGGATTATAGGCGTAAGCCACCGCACCTGGCCAGTAGATCCTTTTAAGATGTTTTTGATGACATGTGAAAGGGATACTACTCTCTTCTCCAAGATACTAGAAAGTATTTTCTTGTTTTTTTTATCAATGCCTTAAGGAATATCTAGTAGTGTGTATTGTGGGGGAAATGTAAAGAAATACAGGGACTGATTTTTGTTTTAGTAAACTCACACTCCAGTTGGAGTAGCTTAACTTCATTATGGAAGGAATGAGGAAAACTTGAAATGAGTAATTGAAAAACAAATGATGGGACTAAATTGAACTCACTGGATTAAGTTGCTTCTTCAGGCTGTGTCTCATTTCTCTTTGCATCATCGGTACTTAGGACCATGCATAATTTTGAAGGACGAACAGGATGTGTGTTTGAAACTTTTGAATATTCCTCAGGTTTCCAATTTTAACCTTTCTTTGGTGTTGGAAACCACAATACTAAATACCATTTGGGCCATGACTTAGCCTCCTGTGTAAAATCATCATTCTTCCTGTTATGACTGAGAATTATATTTTTCTGTTTGACTTTGTCAGATGCATTTATATTTGCTTTTATTGCGATTGTTTTTTGAGTTTGTGCATCGTTCCCTAGTCAAAGTGTATTTTATAAGTGAATCTAGCTAGGGTGTATGTGTGTGTGAGTGTGTGTGTGTATATATACACAGTCATGTGTTGCTTAACAATGGAGATGTGTTCTGAAAACTGTATCCTTAGGCAATTTCATAGTTGTGTGAACATCACAGAGTATACTCACACAAACTTAGATGGGATAGTCTTCTATACACCTAGGCTATATGGTATAGCCTTTTGCTCCTAGGCTGCAAACCTGTGCAGCATGTTATTGCATTGGATACAATAGGCAATCATAACTCCTGGTATTTGTGTATCTAAACTATCTAAATGTAGAAAAGGTACAGTAAAAATGTGGTTTTATAATCTTAGGGTACCACTGTTGTCTATGTGATCTGTCGTTGGCTGAAACATCATTATGTGGTGCATGACTGTATAATCAGATGCATCAGGTCTACCTATAATTCCTTATATCTTTTGAAATGTTTTCTTTAGAACAGCATGAAATCCTAGCACTTATCATAGCTTCTTAGTGTTTTCAGGCAGGAAAAAAGTATCGATTTAGTGTACCCAGTTTATGCCTCTTGTTCCTGCATAACTATTAATAGAGACTTTTCTGTGTTCAAACCATGATAAATTCTGTGGTTGCCTTAATTAATTTGGGAGCCACTGTTGATACTGGCACATAGATGCTATGATCTGACTCTACTGTTCACCTCCTTTTCTTTTTGGAAGGTCTTTGAATGCAAACTGTTACCTTCCTGTGCTATTCAGTGAGGCATTAGCTTCCCAAGTCTCTGAAGAATGTCCTCATATTTCCTGTAAGGTTTATACACTGAACTTGTATGGAGAAGATTTCTATGTTTGCATTTTTTGCGGGGAGATGAGTTACTGTTTTTTTTCTATCAAAGTTGTCTGAGACATTCCAAAAAATAAGATATCACTTCAGTTTCTTTAGTAGTCTGCAAGTAAACCAATAATTTAGTAAAGTTGTTCTTTTTAAAGTTTGCTTCCTGTGCTGTTTTTCTTTGGTTTCTGATAAAAGACTAAATTATAATAAATGGGCTGCATGTTATCAGTGGCATTGTCCTACCTTACGGTTCTGTAAAGCCTCATCCTTCCCTATACTGTACTCATCATAAGATTTGAAATAATATAAATAAAACTTGATTAGCTTATAATTTTGTATTCTGAAAGTTATTTTTAAAAATTTCTATTTACTGCTGTTAATTTGTAAGCCGTTAGGAATTACTTATTCTTACTTTAATTTTCTTTTCAGGAATTTAGTGGTTATGTTCAACAAGTGAAATATGCAATGTCAAGAATAAAAGCTGCCATGCCAAGAATCTATGAGCTCGCAGCTGGAGGCACTGCTGTTGGTACAGGTTTAAATACTAGAATTGGCTTTGCAGAAAAGGTTGCCGCAAAAGTGGCTGCACTTACGGGTTAGTGGTCACGTGAATGCTTTCTCATTTTCATTTCTCATTATACGTGATCTCCGTATTTTCTGACTGTTCTTGTCTTGAATTCTTTTGAATTTAAAGTTAGAAATAATATTTTTCCATCAAATGTGTGTTTTATATCTGTTTCTGAAATTGTAATTTTCATTCTTTGGCTTTAAAATATTTTTCCATATAGGAGTTTACACAGCATGCCATTAAAATCTAACAGTGTTAGCTTTGTTTACTGGGTAGTCTTCAGTTATTTTCCCTTTAGAGTTTTGAATAGCAGTTTTCAAAATAGGCAGAAAAAACTGACTTGAGTTAGTTATTTGAATAGTAAATATATTGTGGACAGACTTAATTTCCTTTTTTATTATGTCATGCTGTGATAATTCTTTGAATTAATACTATCTTTCCTTTACTAGGCAGAGCACTATATTTCAGATAATGAACTATGATTAGGGCCAAGCTGTCATCTTCAGAAAACTATTATGATGCAGGTATCACCAGAGGGTTAGGGCAGAGATAATTATGCACTGCACATGATAGCCTACCAGCTGATTTGTCTTTAAATCAGATTTTCATAGAAAAGAACTATACTTTTAGGGTTTGGCAAATGGAGATTTTTAAATTTTTTAACATGGGGAATATTAACTGAGAACATTGAGCTTATTTTAGCACCGTATATTTACAGGGGATCTTGTGGGCCCCTGGCTAGTGGAGAGAATGGAGCACAGTAAAAGGAACAAATAAACTTTTCAAAATTGTATTAGGGGCTGAATATGGTGGCTCACACCTGTAATCCCAGCACTTTGGGTGGCCAGAGTGGGCAAATCACTTGAGGTCAGGAGTTCAAGGCCAGCCTGCCCAACATGGTGAAACCCCATCTCTACTAAAAATAAAAAAAAGTTAGCTGGGTATGGTGGCGGGCACCTGTAATCCCAGCTACTCGAGAGGCTGAGGAAGGAGAATTGCTTGAACCCTGATGGAGGAGGTTACAATGAGCCAAGATCGCACCACTGCACTCCAGCCTGGGTAACAGAGCAAGAATTTGTCTAAAAAAAGCAAAGGGTAGAAAAAAAATTGTATTAGGAAGGGAGTGTGGAATAAACTAGAATGAATTCCCACATGCTTTTTATCTTTACTCAAGCATAGTCAGGCATCATATACATGTATTTACAATAGGATTGTGTTTCAGTACATTTATTATACTTGTTATTTCATCTTTTAAATGTAATCCTGGCCAAGCACAGTGGGATTACACACTTGTAATTCCAGCACTTTGGGAGACCAAGGTGGGTGGATTGCTTGAGCCCAGGAATTTGAGACCAGCCTGGGCAAATGGTGAAACTCCATCTCTACTAAAAGCTAAAAAATTAGCTGGGCATGGTGGTGTGCACCTGTAGTCTTAGCTACTCTGGAGGCTGAGGTGGGAGGATTGCCTGAGCCATGGAGGTTGAGGCTGCAGTGACCTGTGATCAAGCCACACTGTACTCCAGCCAGGGCAACAGAGTGAGACCTTGTCTCAAAAAAAACTTAAAAAAATGTAATACCAGATTCTTTATACTCCTTTAGGACTTCTTTAAAAAATGTAGACAAAATTTGAGTCTTAAGTAAACATTTTTTTCTGAAGGAAAATTTTTGTTTTTTTATATATTGGAACTTTCTGTTTAACTTGCTGATAGTAGAAAAATGTTTAATTTAACTTGTTCACCCATTTAGGCTATTTTTTTCTTGTCTTTAGGCTTGCCTTTTGTCACTGCTCCAAATAAATTTGAAGCTCTGGCTGCTCATGACGCTCTGGTTGAGCTCAGTGGAGCCATGAACACTACTGCCTGCAGTCTGATGAAGATAGCAAATGATATTCGTTTTCTGGGTTCTGGTCCTCGGTCAGGTCTGGGAGAACTGATCTTGCCTGAAAATGAACCAGGAAGCAGTATCATGCCAGGTAATCACATAGCTGGTAAATTTTGGGGCTAGAACTTGACTAGATCCTAGGCATTCTTAGCTATGGACCGTGTCTTTTTTGTTTCAAGTTATTCCAAAGCTGCATATGCAAGGCACGCTATTTCAGAATGTCTGTGGTCCTCTGATCAGGACTTATGGGCACATCACCTAACAAGATAGGAAAAAAGAATCTGACTTAGCAGCAAGTATTTTGAATCCCACATTAGAAAATGTAGAACAGGATGTTAAAGTGATCAGCATGGGTTGAATAAAAAGACGTTACACCAAACTTCACTTACTTCGTTTGTTGCATTGCATTATGTGCCTGTTAGATATCGCAACTGACACAACACTGTATGTGGATTTCTGTAAGTCATTTGATGGATTCGCATGTTAGTCATTGATTCCAGTGGAGAAGCGTGGGCAGTGCTGGCAGATGAATGTAGCTGGGTGAACAATGACATTTAAGGAGTGACTAATGAGGTGATTTCAGTCTGGAAGAATATCTTGGTAACAAGCTGAAGGGCTCTGCCCTTCAACACTTTACTGGTGACTGACGGTGAAGGAAGAGAATACGTGCTAATCATATTAGCAGGTAACAGAGTTGAGATAGCAATACTATGGATGATGGAACTGAGACCCATAAAGGCCTTTGTAGTTTGGGCCAAAACTGACAATGTAACTTTTAATAATGAGAAAGAAAGGCCTGACTCTAGGTTTTTTTTTTTAAAACTTATGCATCTGCGGAATAAGAGGAGATGAGATTTTGTTTTAAAGTACTTCATGTTGAAAAATGACGTCAGAGTTTAGTTGATTGCAAACCCAAGGTGATTGCCAAAAGAAAGAGAAATGAGGAATCACAGATAAAGGAAATAATCTACTGAATAATCTTTCCAGTGTGTTCACTTGTACTGGTCAGAGGAATCTGGGTTGTTTGATTCAAACTTGAGCTTGTCCAAGGAGTATGAGCGGGGTAGTGGGGTTCCATAGACTCATGTGATAAATAGGACAATTTTAGCTTAGCATCACTTTCCCCTAGGAAGCCTCCCAAGTGTTAGTGAACAGTCGCTTTTATAAGTGCTCTGATAGCAGCATGCACTTCTCTGTATTTAGCCCTTGTAATTGCCAGCTCTTTCTCCGTAGCCTCCAAGTTCTGCAAGGGCAGGGCCTGCATCTTTCTTATTCACCATTGTATATTGAGTGCCTGGCTCCGTAAATATTTATAGAATGAATGAAAATCATGAAGGTGGAGAACTCTGTTTAATGTGTACGTGTGGCTGCTCATTAACCATTGAATGGTTCAGTTTGTGGCTACCCGTCTCACTTCCCTTGGTTGGTTTGTTTCATTAAATTACACTGACAATTGGGCCTTGCTTTATTGTATATCTTACTTTATTTAATGAAATTAGATTTCTTTATTTTCCTGGTTACTTGCATAAATTCTAATCTTATTCTGTCATTGGTTTTCTTGAAGGCAAGGTGAACCCTACTCAGTGTGAAGCAATGACCATGGTTGCAGCCCAAGTCATGGGGAATCATGTTGCTGTAACTGTCGGAGGCAGCAATGGACATTTTGAGTTGAATGTTTTCAAGCCAATGATGGTAGGCTTTCAGTCTGACTTTTAATGTTTTTTGACCAAAGGCTAATTATCTTGGTTTTGTGTTTCGTAAAGACTTTAGTGATTCTACACTGGGTAGTTGGGTGGCATAAGTAGCAGTTGGAAATCAAGCATTTATTAAGTTAGCAGAATAATCCTATATATTAGAAATTAACTGACTTTTACCCTAAGCGATTTGATGGTTTTTTTTTTAATAGCCCCAGTTTAAGAAAAATAAAACGCCTTCCCACAACCATGTCTCCTTCTCATGCTGCTGCTTCCTTCTTTCAAATTCAGTCTTCTTGAAAGAATGACACATACTCACTTTCATTTATGCTAGAGTCACCACAGCCCAGCATAGCCCTCTCCACGCATGCTTGAATTCTTCTCCCAGTTGTTGGTAACTACCTCAGTCCAATGGGCATTGCACAGTTAGTTCTTCTCTTACTAAGAGCTATGTTGACTGTCCCTACTTGAAACATTCTTCACCCTGGTTTCTTGAACATTTTTTCACCAGTTCTTTCTGCACCCTGTCAGTCTTTCTTTCATTGTTTGGCTTTACCTTTCCACGTACTTGAAAACATTGCGTCCATCAAAACTGGTCATTTTCTTTCACCTTTATAAAGATCGTTAGATGCATTGTGTCATTTCTCATCCAGTTTCCTCAGCTTCAGATAGTGGAGCTGTTGCCATCATTTAGAGTCCTTCATTTGTGCAAAGTGTTATTAGGGACTTACTTCCTCTTGGAATCTGTTGTAAATTCTCATTTTAATTTGATAAGAATATGCAAATGATAAATATTAAGTATATTGGATGTAGTCACTAAATATTTATTGAGTACCATTTTGTATCAGGCACTGTACTGGATGCATAAGAGACAGAGCAATGAAAAAGACAGGTTTCTTTGCCCTCCTTGAATGTATGTTCTAGTGGTAAATAAAAACACACGCCAAAGCAGAATTGAAACTGTTATAATTTTGCTCTCAGGTCAGATTCCAGTTAACATTAGATACCCAGTATATACAGATGCGTAACAATAAATGTCTTGTTAATCTTTTTAAAAATTTATTTTAATATAAAATAAATAACAATAATATTTGCCTTATTATAAGGTCATTACTAGTAAATGAAAACTTAGATTATTGTGTCTTCTATTAAAGTCCATTGTTGGAAGTCTAGTTTTCAGACGCTGGAGTTTTAGACCAGAGGATATTAGGATGTGTATACATCTTAATAAATAATTGGAATTTTTTTTTTTTAAAGCCAAAACAAACTAATTGGTTTTGTACTGTTTTTAAACATTATATGAAAAATTATTTTACAGTGACTTGAGTATTTGTTTTGTTAAAGCATGGAAAACCTGGAAACTTGGCGATCGTTAGATTTTGCCCTAACTTTACTAATTGTCTCACACTCATGCTGAACTTTGGAACCTCTACGTCTTTGCTCCTCTTTCTTCTGCATGGAAGATTTTTTTTCTTTCTCTGGCTAAGTCCTCTCCATAAAATAGGATTTCACCAGTTCCTACAACTAGCATTAATTTCTCTTTGTCTATGGTCTCTAACACTTCAGATCTCTGTTTAAACTAATTGCTATGGGATATTTTGCGTATTAGTCATTTGTATTTATGTTTTCTTCACCTTTTTAAGATTTCTGTGCCTTCAGCTGTTCATGCTTTCTTTCACATTGTTTCCTTGGGTACACTGCCTTAAAATTTGTAGGAGTTCTATATGTTTATTGAATTGTATATTTGCTATCAACCAACAAATAATAAATAATATGTTATTGGACAGAAAACATGTTGCCTTAGTAATGTCTCTCTCTCTCTCTCTCTCTCTCAAAGATTAAAAATGTGTTACACTCAGCCCGGCTGCTGGGGGATGCTTCAGTTTCCTTTACAGAAAACTGTGTGGTGGGAATCCAGGCCAATACAGAAAGGATCAACAAGCTGATGAATGAGTCTCTAATGTTGGTGACAGCTCTCAATCCTCACATAGGTAAGCGTTTAAGGAATAATAGTATCATTTTGAACACAAAATTAAAAAGCTACAACATTTTTAAGAGACAAGTGGATCAGTGTTTGAGAACAGCAAAGTTCTTTTGGATATGGTTTTAGTAAAATCTCAAAATATTTGAAATTGTGTGGAATATTTATACAAGTCACATTTATGACTTGTATGGTGTCATAGTGCTTTCAAAACTTGATCTGTTATGCCTCATTTTATTTGAAATGTATTCAGAAGCACTAGTTCAGACTTATTTTAATCTTAATGGACTTCAGATGCTAAATATTCTATGCAGACCGTTGGGGAAGTTATTTTTAAGACCATCAGTGGGTAATGTCACTAGGTGGCACTGCTGATTAGCAACATGGAATGAACTCATTTTTCTACCTTCCTTAGATCTCTACAATGCTTTAATTTTGTTGTTTTATTCAGTTCAGAAATGGAAAGTGACAATTAAAACAAAAAGGTTATGTATTCATTGCTTTTAGAGAAAGGGAGGGAGGAAATGAAAATATTTGGTCTAAAACCATGCTATTATAAGCCTTTTTCAAAATTGTAAATATTTTATTATGTAGAATCAAACATAGATTTGGGTTGTGGACTGGCTATAATGATCCCCATTAAATAAACTGTTTTCACTTTTGTAGATTTTAGAGGCATCATGTTGCATTGTATTATGATGTGTTAAAAGCGTTTTTCCCGTTTCTCCCTTCCGCTAAACTGAGGTTAATATATTTTCCGATTTTCTATTATAGAACAAGTAATGATTCACTCATTTGGCATAATATGGCTACTGCTTTCAGACATTCTGCTGTAATCCTGAACTTTCAAGGGAAATTTTATATTCCTCATTTTATATCAAGCTATAATTTCAATTTTTAAAACTTAGAGCTCACTTGATGCTTTTAGATCGTTCTGAGCCTGGTATGATGTCAGTTTTTTGGTATAGTATTGAGATTGGTAATAATGTTTAATGCATTTCAAATTATGATACATCAGCTACATCTGGAAAAGTATAAAAGGGAATCCAGAGGCTCGTGTGAGCAGTTTTCATCAGATCTTTACCTCAGAATGTGTTGCCAAAACTTTTAAGTTAGAGGTGTCTCCTCAAGTTGAGTGATTGGTAAATCTTTCGTAGAATCAACTTATTGTGACATAAAAAAAATTGTTAGATGCCATATGAGAGTGAGGTGGGTCAACACTATCTCACTAGTTGACTACGTGTGAGCCTTACAAGCCTCTGAGTCATGGGTTTCCTATATTCTCATTATGTACCAGGCTGGTTGTTGATAATGTCTTATTGGACTTGACAACTGAAAGTGGGAAGCATCAATGGTTAGACTTTAAAGCCATTATTAAAATAAAAGTATTGGCTATATTGATCCTAAGAGTTGAACATGCAAATAATTTTTCAAAGCTTCTCTGCTTTACAAAAGATGCCCTTTTCAGTAAATGGCATCAGTAAATGCCCTTTCAGATCAGTAAATGCCCTTTTCAACATATTTAGCATTCACAAATTCAGTTAAGTAAAAACATTAACTATGCTCATAATTTCTTTTACAGCTGGTTAGCAATTGCATACTGACACATGCCGTCTTGTTGAGTTGATGATCTGTAGTGCCTCAGCAAGCTTCTTCCTTTTGGTCATATTTCTCTGATCTTGTTTTTTATTTTTTTCTCCCTCATTGGTTTCATATTCATTCTGCTTTTTCCTCTTGACTTAAAATATGTATACGTTAAGACAAGACAACTTGAACTACCCTGCCACTACTTTTGTTAATTTGAAAAGCAAATAACTCTGAAGTAAACAGTATGCCTGTGATCTTTTGTACAGTCGGTATTTCTGCCAACACTCCCACACTTATGTCCCTGTAACATCTGGGAGGGGTGAGGGGATAGAAGCCATTGCATGGAGAGCCATGTGGAGAAGAGCCCTTGGAAGCAGCTCTGGAGGTGCCTCTCCCCTGGCCCTGCCTGCCCCTGCCTCACTGCCCAGACCTCTCACCTCTCACAGCCACTCACCACAGTTGCCAGACCTGCAGCGTGGTATTTGCTGCAGGACTGGAGCATTTAGCTTGTTAATGCTTCCTTAGACAGATAATTGTTCCTAGTTACACATGTTTGAAAAATACACCCAGATGTATATTTTTATGTCTTGGTGCTATAATTTCTACTTTTTCCCCTTCAAAATATCTAAGTTAGTGGAAAATGTCAACTTACGAACAAATCTGTTGGAGAAAGTGAGGTATGTTTAAGTCTTTATTTCTTAAGAAAAGTAAACGTTTTATTCTATATAAGAAATGACAGGTATTCAGTTAATCACTGTTAACTATTTTTAAAAGCAAAAAATGTCATTTAAGAGGCCCATGTAGCATCAGTATCAGTAAACAATTATGTTCCCTTTTGCTTTAGAAAACCAAATTTTACTACTGACCCACATGTTATCTTTTTGTTTTTTCTTCAGGGTATGACAAGGCAGCAAAGATTGCTAAGACAGCACACAAAAATGGATCCACCTTAAAGGAAACCGCTATTGAACTTGGCTATCTCACAGCAGAGCAGTTTGACGAATGGGTAAAACCTAAGGACATGCTGGGTCCAAAGTGATTTAAATAAATTTATAATGAAAATAAACATGTATAAAATTTAAAAAAACAGACTCCTATTTCTTAAAACTGGGTAAGTTTGAAAGGAAACTGCTGTTTAACTTAAGTATCTCTAGCAGAGCAATTTGATCAGCGTATAAAACCCTAGGATGTGCTGGGTCCAAGGTGAATTAAAAAGTGTAAAATGAAATACATTTATAAAGTAAAAAAGACAACAGACTTAAATTCTCTCCTGTGTTAACTGACCTGTGTTAGAGTTGAATCTATGCTATTTGTGCATGTTGTCTTTATTATTTCGCAAGTTGGCAATTTTTAAAGGTTTTAATTTTGGGGGTTATGGGTGGTTTAAAAAATTGCCTTATTATATCTTATGATCTCATTCCCAAACCATGCCCTTACCCATCTTTTATTTTCCTTTGGTTTGGAGACACAGTGGCCAAGCCCTTCTGAGTGGGGATGTATGTATATATATGTGTGTGTATAATAGGATAGGTTAAGAAAATTGGGACATACATATTCTGTGTGTTAAACACACACACCTATCTCTCCAACCTATTTCTGTTATCACAAAGAGAACAGATCAGAGCCAGGCATGGTGTCTCAGGGAGACTGACTTTAGAAGACTGAACTTCGGGAGACTGAGGCAGAAAGATCACTTGAGCCTAGAAGTTTGAGACCAGCCTGGGCAACATAGTGAGAACACTGTCTCTAAAAAAAATTTTTTTTAATTAGCCAGGTGTGGTGGTGCATGCCTATATTCCCAGCTACTCAAGAGGCTGAGGTGGGAGGATTCCTTGAGCCCAGGAAGTCAAGGGTACAGTGAGCCAAGATTTCACCACCGCACTCCAGCCTCGGTGACAGAGTAAGACCCTGTCTCAAACAACAACAAAAAAAAGACTGGGTTAAAAATTATAGGACAAGGATTAGAAAGATAAAGGGAACAGGCAGGAAGATTGCAAAGGAAGGAAAGATGTCCTGAAAGTGAGTCTTGTTCATTATCTGAAGTACCAAGATTTTTTAGTACAAATTTGATTTGTAACAACCTTAGGGGATTTTGCATTAGCAGTTATAGGGAGATGTGGAATAGGGTGACCCAAACCCAAAGCTAAGGAACATATTTAAAATAGAACCAACCTCTACTAAGTAGGGAGTTGGAGCAGGCATTTGGTTTATTTTTTCTTCTTCCTCATATAATAAATAACAGGATTATAAGGGAAACTCTCATGAACTAAAACATCTCATTTGTAAGTATTACTCTATCAGGTACATTTTAAAAAATGGGATATTTACCCCTAGTATTCTTGGAAAATCAGTCACATTAACACCAGCTCCTCTGTCATAGTTTGAAGTAGTTGTTTTATATAGAATTTAAAAGTGTAATTTAAAAAGTTCTAGAAACATTGTGATGAAAGCTAAAGTTTATATTTTCCTAATTTCTTAAGCCTGAATGTTCACTCTTAAAAGGGGGTTCAAACTTTAAAAACGGAACTATAGAGAGCCTATAGGATCTACGTTTTAGCCCACACAATACTGTTTCTGCCAGTGTTCTTCAGATGGTGATGAGATGATGCTTGTGTAGCTTGCTTTAAAACAAGGCATGCTTTCCCTTGGTCCATTTTGTTTTTTTTTTTTTTTAAAGATTTTTACTGGAAAATAAATTAGATTGCATAGCAGCGTCTGGACCCCAACAATCAAACTGGCAACTGATCTGTAGTTGTGAAACGATCTATCCACTATGATGTTGAATATTTTACCTTAGCAGCCATTCTCAAACTAAATAGGCTGTCATTTGAGGGTCACTAGAGACACAATGACTTATGTAATAAAGATTACAGCAGATCAAGTTCCTAGCCTCAGACAGTCTTTGTACAGCTGTCTGATATGTCCCAGCATATTATAGGCCATCATGGAATCCTTTGAGTCAACAATCATCTTTGTGTGATGTTAGGGAAGTAAAACTGCTTTATGATGTAATCTAAATAAGGCTTTTAGAACTCCCTGTTGTACCAAAAGTGAACTTCCTTGTTTTTTCACTAGGGGCAATTTTGTCTCCCAGGGAACATTTGGCAATGTCTGGAGACATGTTTGGTTGTCACAGCAGAGGAGGGGGTGCTATTGGCTCTACTTGGGCAGATGCCAGAGGTGCCACTAAATGTTAATGCACAGGACAGCCCCCGGCCCCCAACCAACAAAGACTTTTCTGGCTCAAGATGTCAATAATGCCAAGATTGAGAAACTGAAAAACAAAAAACTATGTCTCTGTAAATGCTCGCCATTCAGTTAGGCTTTACTACTTGTAAGGGGGAGTAAGGCCAGGGGGAGTGTCCTGGAGTTGCTGTGACTTTACTCGTTGAAATTCTGAGGTGTCTTAGAAATGAGCAAGCACAAGAAAGTGAAACATCAGCTGATCATGGTGCTCATGTCTTAGAATGACTTATTCCCAGCAAAGTGTCCAAAGAGTTGTGCCAGATAAACTCTATGGGGGCGGGGGGGGGGGGTCAAGGCCCTGCAAAAGTGTCATGTTAAAGATGGAGACAGTAATAATTCATGGATCCCTATAAGCAAACCTGAAGGACTGGGAGCTTTCTTGAGCAGACAGATTTCAAATGGGGAAAGTCCTGGGACTTATGAGTGAACCAGTTGGTCTGGGACTACACCAACTCAGTACACATGCAGCAGGGGAATTCATAGAAAGCCACCAGCCAAATTTACTCTTTCTTTTAATGGTTCAGTTTGGTTTAAGAAAGAAAAAATATATATATATATGCACAAAATTTTTTGAGACTAGTTCATGCTCATGATTATGCTCTTGTACATGTCATGCTTCTCTCTCTTCTTCAGCTGTCCTTTTGGTCTTTGCAGCAGAAAGAAATCTGGGAGAGACAAATGTAATAATAGAAAAAGGATGGTATTAGAAAGATAAGATTAAAACTGATAAAGTGAATTATTTTTCTTTTTGGAGTAAATTCATGGAATTGGCCACTCAGCAATTAATTTTTGAGCAATTGACCTAGAGCTTCCACTTGCAATCTGGGTGAGGAGAAAGAAAGTACTGATTATCATCTGCCATTTATGACGTTAAGAAGCAGAGCACTGAGATATCTGTGTCAAGCCAGGTAGGTGAGAGACTCTTGTATCTTCTGATCATCATGGAGATACCTGCTGAGATTTCACCTTGCTCTTCAGGGCTTTCTTCAAAAGACTAACACTGGGTTCCCAGAGCGCTCAGACAGGTACCACAAGAGCTCATTCCATCGCACCTGTTGTTTCAGGATCAAACAAGCCTATGGAACCTGAGCATGAGAAGCATTTTTTTTTTTTTTTTTTTTTTTTGAGACGGAGTTTCGCTCTTGTTACCCAGGCTGGAGTGCAATGGCGCGATCTCGGCTCACGACAACCTCTGCCTCCTGGGCTCAGGCAATTCTCCTGCCTCAGCCTCCTGAGTAGCTGGGATTACAGGCACGCGCCACCGTGCCCAGCTAATTTTTTGTTATTTTAGTAGAGACGGGGTTTCACCTTGTTGACCAGGATGGTCTTGATCTCTAGCTTCCCAGTTTCATGTGGTATAGCCAGGATGGGGAACCAGTAATCTGTGTAACACAATGGTAACTTTTTAAATACATAAATTAGTAATTCACTGTATTCAAGATAAAATGGTAACCATTTTTGGTACATCTCATGAGTGTACATTGTATCGTTCTTGTTATGAAGCTGTTTTGATCATCTGGGCTGAATTTCACATTATCAGTCTCTTCTGTTCTTTTAAAGTTCTCTAGTTATTTCTCCATTTTAAGACTTCCTTGAAGTCTTAAAAAAACCTTTGATTATTAAGAAGGAAAAACTTCATTGCCATTTATCTTAATAATCAAACATTTGTTTCAAAAGTGATTTTTCTATACCACTAATAGTCTTGTGGTGAGAACCATAAGATCATAATTTCCTGGAATTTTGTGTTATTTTCCACAAAATAATAAAGCCTTTCTCTAACATACACACCTTAGCAAGTATTCTCTACTGACATTCTGATTTTAATGTACACAATATTTGACTTTATGCTTTCATAATCATTAGATGTAATTTTATTGATTATTCATCCATATCCCCTTCAACATTCACCAATCATAAATGAGCATGCTTTCTAGAAGATTATCCTAGCTGTATAAGTTCAAACACTAAAATACAGTCAATATATAAGATTTCCCATTCTGTGTAACTGTCCTTGGCACCTCACTCCCTGCCTATGACTTTAGGATAAACAGGAAGTCTAGGAAGACAACCTAAGCTGAAAACTAGGGTGTGTGTTTGTGTTTGGGTTGCTTTGGTTAAATTATGGAGCTTTTCTCTTTCTCAATTTTTTTAAACCAAAAAACTGGATTAAAGACTACCTCTCACCTAACTTTAGTTCTTTTTTCCCAGCTATAAGACTAGTACCCTAGTGTTTGTTTCGCTGACCAATCACTTTTTAAATTTTAGTTCATTACATTAAACTTTTCCTTTTGACCTATTTTTGACTTACAGAAAAGGTGGAAAAATTGTACGAAAAATTCCTTTATGTCTCACTCAGCTTACCCTTATATGAACGTCTTACATAACCATAACACAATGGTCCCGAATAGAAAATTAACATCAATATAATACTAATTATAGACATTTTCTCGAATTTTACCAATTTTTCCATTATCATCTTTTCTCTGTTTTAAGATCCTACCTGGGGTCCCGCATTGCCTTTAGTTAATTCTTCCTCATCTCTTCTGGTCTGTATCAGTTTGTCAGCCCTTGGTTATCTTTTATCACTTGACACTTACGAAGACTACTGATCTGTTGTTTTGTTTTAGAGATGAGGTCTTGCTATGGTGCCCAGGCTGGAGTGCAGTGACTAGCACAGGCTCACTGCAGCCTCAAACTCCTGGCCTCAAGACATCTTCCTGCCTCAGCCTCTCAGGTAGCTGGGACTGCAGGAGTGCAACATGCCCAGCTGGATCAGATGTTCTAAAGAATGTTTCTCAATTTGAATTATTCTGATGCTTTTTTGTAGTTGGAATGAGGTTG